GAACAGAAGGATCTTTAGGGATATCTTGTGTATAAATATTAAAAAGGTACGGCGAAAGTGCCGACCCCTGTGGGACACCAGCATTGATTACTATGGTGGTAGAGTAAGCAGTACCGATTTTGATTCTGAATGATCTGTTGCTGAGAAAAGAGGCTATTAAGCGAATAAAATGATCTGGAAAATTGAGAGTGATTAGTTTGTAAATAAGGCCTAGATGCCATACCCTGTCAAAAGCTTTCGCGATATCGAGAAATATAGCACCGGTCGGAAGCTTGCAATCAGTGATAATGTGATAATTAGCCTTCAGAGATAATGTTGATAACTCTAAGAAGTTGGTGGCAAGTGCTATGATGATTACGAAAACCGAATTGTTCTTCTGGTAGAAAAGTCATGGAAGGGTGAATTTTTTGGATGTGGAAAAGTAGAATTTTCTCAGTAACTTTAGACAGGTGGCTAAGTAAACTGATAGGGCGATAGTTCTGTGGGAGAGTTGGATTTTGTTGCGGTTTAGCAAAAACAATTATTATAGCTTGCTTCCATGAGTTAGGAAAATGAGCGAATTTGATAATGTTGTTGATTATTTTAGTTAGGCAGGTAAGAGCGTTGATCGGGAGATGCTTCAGTGCTTTAATTGAGATGCCATCGTGCCCTATGGCTTTCTTCGTTTGTAAGGCGCTGATGGTGTTGGCAACGATGGTTGGGGTAGTCAGGAAAGTGAAGTTGTACGGAGCAGGGGTGTTAAGGAAGTTATTGACCACTTGGTTGACCCGTTCAATATGGTTATTGTTGTACGGAGTGGGATTAAGAGTGAATGTATCTTCCATATAGTCCGCAAAAGATTTAGCTTTATCTTCTTCTGTATATGAAGTTCCACTAGGTCCATGGATAGGTGGAATAGGTTTATAAGGTTTCTTGAATTTGCGGGAAATGTCAAATAGGGAAGTTGTCCTCTATAGCTAGGTTATTTAGGAAATTGGTCCATTTTTGGTTTTTGAAGTTCTTGATTCTTCTGTTGATTTCTTTTTGCATAGAGTTTAGTTCGTGTTTGAGTTGTGGATCCTTGGTGGATTGCCATCATTTACGCATCCGGTTTTTCTCTTTAATCCTATTTCTTATATCGGCAGGCAGGAAAAGGAAAGGCTTGTTCACATAAAAAAGTATAGGGGGCTTCCTTTAAAGCAGAAATGATGCTGTTGATAAATTTTGAGACTTCATGTTCTAAATCTTCTGTATTGTTGATGCATGGGTTACCTTGTACGGAGTTATTCAGAATTTCAGAGTATTTGATCCAATTTGTAATTACTATACTTCTGTCAAGTGAGGGGAGGTATTTATTAATGGGGATTTCAAATACAATGGGGTTGTGGTGGAAGACAGGACTGAAATTACAGAGATATTGCATCTGTTAGTAATGTTATTTGAGATGAAGAAGTCAATTGTGGTGGCGCTATTGTACCCGTAGGGGGTGGGCTCCTCTGGAGCATGAATATTATAATTATTTGATTGAATGAGCTTAAATATGTCATTTCCTTTTTTGTTAGCAGGTCCTCGGTTCCAACAGGGGTGTTTAGCGTTGAAGTCCCCTCCGACAATGGTAGAAGTATTAGAATTAAGGAGGTGAATCAATTCTTGTGCGCTGGGATTATTATTTGGGTGGGATGTATATATTCGAAATTTTGAATTTTTTATGTTCTATTACAATTTCTATTCTGTTACTTTCGAAAGTGGTGCTGGGAATTAGGAATTTGAGCGTGTTTTATGCTCCTTTTAACAAATGTGATGATGCCACCGCCTCTTCCTGTCTCACGATCCAGTACGGTAGGTGTTATAATTGAGCATAAAGTACTTTGAGTGCTGGTTTAAGGTGAGTCTCTTGTATGAGTATTACGTCAGGTTCAATTTCAATAATGAGGTTTCGATAATTCATCTTTTTTATGTTAAAGACCGTTAGCGTTCCAAGAGAGGATTTTTATGTTGCATCTGTTCTTGAATTTATTAGCATTAAAGATGATTTCCTATTTTTTCAATGATTTCGACTACTGCGATTATTTTATCAAGAGGTGATTTCTTGTTTTTAATGTTTTTGAGTCCTCGTATCACTATTGTCCAGATTGTTTTTAGCGTAGAGAAGTCAAAGAGGTCTGACAGGGAGGATTCTGCGGTACTGGTAGTTTCTTCTGTTGGAATTTCGTTTTGAATGGAGGTTTGAGCGATATTTTCGTTACTGTTTGATGTCAGCGGAGGAAAGTCTTGTTTTCTGTTAGTCCAGGTATTGGTTGCTGGTGGAGGACTGGGTTGGAACTGAACTTGTTTGTTTTTTGGTCTGGCCTGGGCAATTTGAAAAGTTCGCTGGGTGAGGACCTTTGCAGTGATAACATATGGCTGGCTGGTCGCGGACTACGGGTGCATTCTATAGGTTTGTGATTGCCTCCGAAACGGACGCAAACCCAGTCTCTGGTGCAGAAGCAGGGAACTGTGAAAAAATCCCTGGCATCTATAAGCATTGTGGAGGGCCAGGTTTCTTGCGTAATGATTCTATTGTTACGTTCATATAACCTATGCGTTTGATTTGAATACTTCCTTATTTTCTTCTGATTTTGGTATATGTACTAAGAAAAGCGGCATTGGTTTGTTTTTCTTTTCTGTTTCTTAAAAGTGTAATAAAGTTAACCTTAAATCCTTTGTCAAGTAAGTTCTTGAGTGATGGTTTGGGGATCTGTGGTGATGGGTAAGTCTCTTATTATAACTTTTAAAACCTTCTCTTCGGGCAATAAGTAGGTGTGGGCCTTAAGTTTTTTTTCTTCTACTATTTTACGAAGGAATCGATGTGAGTCAGAATCTCCAGGCTGTATTTCGAGGCGGCGTCCTTTTTTAAGGTGCCAGTTATTTCTTTTGCGGTTTGCTTGTTTAAGGTTTTTAAGGATTCATCTGCTTTTGGGACGTCATCTTCGACAATAACAGGCACTTTATCAATTCTGTTCGTTTTTAAGTCGAGTTTGGTTTTCTATTTGTGTGAATGGTGTCACTTTTGTTTGGTTGGTCTTTTAAGGGTGGTAGTGAAGCTGAGTGGCTGATTCATCTTTCGTTATGTCCAAATGCATGTCGTCTATTTGGTTCTCCTAATTGTTTATATCGATTGCTGGTTTTGAGGGAAGGCTCCTCATCGGAGTCAGAATCCGTTTGTCTATGGTGCAAATTTCTTTTTCTCTGTTTCTTTGAAAACCACTAGTGGATTGAAGTATGTCGTAGAAGTTTATTAATCTCTTCAAATTGCTTAGCGAGCTTTTCATTGGAGGTTTGTAATTCGTTTATTTTTGCATTGGCCATCTCGTTTTCCTGCATACGCAGTTGATTAATTGGCATTTAACAAAGGAGAAAGTTTAGTTCTTTTTGAATCACTAGCGGACAAAATCACATTTTGGGTCATTACGGAATATCTTGGATATCTTCCAGCAAGGATCTGGTAGTTTCGAGCGTCATGGATTAGATAAAGCAATTTTGTGACTTAATATTTGGAGAACGTTGTTTTCATCATTGAGATGTCTCATGTGAGGATTTTCTGAGTTTGGAGGTGAATTTTCCAATTTTATGTTATTATTAGTTACAGTTGTGTTTGTTGTGTCATATTGATTAATCATGTGAGGCAAATAAGTTGGAAAAAGGCCTAACTAGAGGCCGTACCCGAAGGTACCCTTATCAGCACGGTGAATAAAGAAAATCAGAAGAAAGAATAAAATACGACCTGTTTTATCCAGCGAAGAATGCAGCAGTGGAGTTAAGTCGATGCTTTTGCGAGGCGAAAGCCAAAGAAGAGGAACAACCCAGAGCCCTTGAGGCGACGTCGATGAACTCGGTATAGTAGCGGGGGTGGTAGCAACGCAAGGCAACGGAGAGCGAAGCGATAAGACGTCTATCTCGAACGCTGTCCCACCTCGGAATGAATGGTATGTATATCATTTTATAAGAAATTGTTTGGTTATGCTATTCTATAGTGAAAAAGATTTGATATCTGTAATACTTTTTATACTATTACTCATACTAGATCATAATACCTATTTTCTGACCTGGAAATTTTTTATGCTAACTATCCTGAATCACTGTAATCAGTTCTAAATAGTTTAACAGGAAATGACTCACACACAGAAATTTCAACATTACTAGAATATGAAATTCAAAGTTCATCATTAACGTTAAAATAATTAACTTTTACTTTTATATGTGTCGTTCTATAAATTTTCATTTAAATCATTGCTAACATAAACTGAAACACAATTTAAATTTCTGCAGGTAAAATATGCATGAAAGCATAATTGTATATGTATATGTATATTAATAATATTTAAGAGATTAATGAGCTATGATGATTTATACTTCAATACACTAATATGCATGTTTACTTTCGAAGAATACACATACACGTTTATATGTATGACACACAAGAAAGAAATTTTGCATATATAAAGAAAACTTTTCTTACGAGAAAAAAATGTAATCAGTTTTTTTAAATGCTTAGAACGCACGTTCATATAATGTCCCACTTTCTTTCAATTCGAAATACGCGAATCCACCCTCTTCTTCGTTCTTGCTATAGTGTATGAGAAGTTTTGCTATCTCGTTCGATATTTTTCGAACCAAGAATGCGATTGAAGCATAACTCAGGTTCCTTGCAAGCTCGTGATTTACACTGATGTACACAACAAAACATGTGGTCTGTACTTCTTTTTAAGTTATACATATGCCCACAACAATAAAAAATAAAACGTTTAATTACTTTTCGATCACAACACGCTTCACAAACTAGGTAGCATTGTCAAATGTAAATACCGAGCTTTAATGTTTCCACCTTTTAGCCACTAGATGGCGTATCAGAGCGCTGGAATTGCGGATAAATTTTTATTAATAATTAACTTTTACTTTTATATGTGTCGTTCTATAAATTTTCATTTAAATCATTGCTAACATAAACTGAAACACAATTTAAATTTCTGCAGGTAAAATATTTTAAAAGAAATTTGAGCTGTGATTTGCAGAGTATGGCAACAATGCTAAAGTAAACATTTTATCTGGTTTTGAATTTTCTGTTAGATTGTTTTAAGCAACTTAGCAATGGGTAAGACTTTTTTTTTTTTTTTTTTTAATATCTTACGTAAAAGTAAATGTGTGAGTTATTTAACGATATATATTTTAGAAGTTTAAGATCTTTTCAACATTATTTTACTAATTTCTTCTGTGACGCAGGATTAGTAAATATTATGATTTTATATATTTTTCTTTATTGATCGTTAAAAGCAGCTTTCATGCATTTATTATGTGACGAGCACTTTCTTTTTGAGTTCTTTCCTCATAAATTATCTCAAATTAGTATTTTCTTTCTCTTCTGTGACTAATTAAAAAGTTTTATCTTTTGCAGGTGATTTGTCTTCCATACCTACTGTATTGGTGACAGGTATAGTTTTGATATATATCATTGTTATTATTTTATTTCTCGATTTTTATGAGAAACTTACTAAGTGAACTATGTTCATATAGCATTAAATTTTATATGAATTCTGTTGATTAGTCGAAAAGAATATCACTAGAAACACGCTGGAATATTTTTTCAATCGATTGTAAAATAATGTAATGTAGTTGTTTCCAGTAAAAATGTAACAAAATTATAAATCTTCTGTTACTGCCTCTTTTTTTTTTTTTTTTTTTTTTTTTGTTTGTTAATTTTGTTAATCTCACCAGATACTTTGTGAAGATAAAATTGAAAAGAAGACATTTTTTATTATTGTGACGCGACTTAGCACAAAGTATAAATTTGTGTGCAAAATATAGATGGTGGAAACTTTAACAATATGTAGAGCTTTATGAAAAGAATTTATTTTATTTATAATGCTTAATGTGTGCAGTGCCAAGGTTGTATGTGATGCCAAATTATACAAGTTTCTTAATTGTTTTAAGTGAAAATAGATTACTTTATACATTGAGAAAGCAAAATTGTTATTCCATGTACACAACGATTTGTTTTCCCTTAAGAAAACACTTGAGAATTGCATAAATTTGGCATCGGGTGCAAATTTAGTGAAGAATGGCTATCGGTACTTCAGCACAAAAGCAGCTGAAAATCTAGGATGGAAAATTACTGAATTGATGTTCATTCGTCCCTCTTGTCCATAATGGTGCTATTACTTTCACAATGTATAGAGGCTACTACAGTTGGTGTTTTGATGCAACTTTGGTAACTGGTGCTTCATTAATAGAAAACAGATGTTATTCATAAAGTGACAAAACTGTTTGGGGATATTCTGATTATCCACACCCTCCTGAAAAATAGTCATTGCAACACGCTGTCACCAAACTATATTTATGTGGCAATGTAGGTATTCACAGTAAATTAATTTGTGTTTTCTGAAGCATGCAGCAGTGCATTTCCAATTTCTAATTTGACAGTCATTAATGTTTATTGCACTGATTGCATATTTTTTTTTCTTGTAAGGAATCCTTATGAAAGTATACAGTTTACCAAATGATGAAAAAAAATTGCATTTCTTCAGAAATATAGTATTTTGTCCAAAAGTATGCAGTCAAATTTTATGGAACTGAATTTTCAATTCTCTGATTTTTTTCTTCTTAAATTAAAAACAGATTGCTGTAGACATAGAAAAAAGAACAATGTCCACAGGTTAAAATTCAGCACAAGAAGAGGAGGGGGAAGGGCTTTATTATAGATGTTTTTTACTCTCTTAATTTTGTGACTTGGTTGTTGTTTTATGTAATTCTTAGTATGCTATCATTTTGAAGATGGCTGTTGTCTTTTGCATCTTAGCTTGGTGAAAAATTAAGTCGTAAATGTTTGGCGACTTTTTGAGAGGTGGTACAGCAGAAAGTACTTTTTTTTTTTTTTTACTACTGTTCTGTTATCAGGACCAGAGTCATCACCAAATATTTTGCTAAATTCAACAAGCAATTGGTTCATATGAAGTCACCAATAAATTCATTAGAATGTTGATTTTTTTTAAAAAAGGAAAGGGATGCTTTTCCAAAATTGGCAACGACAATATGAATTCTAAAGATGTAACGCTCGCTCTTGTGTTTTTATTATTTTTGTCTTTACCAAACATGGATATGAAAATTTGGGACTTAACTAATGAGGAAACAACTTCCATACAATTGCTTCAGGAATGAGCTATTGTTCACTCTGAAAGAAAATGCTCAAAGAGCCATGAAACGAAGCTCTACTTCTAGTCAAAGGAATGCAGATGTGAAGATATGACAAATCGAGAAAACAAAAAGGATTATGTTCTCAAAATTGGTTTGAAGGATTGAGAATCAGTTTCTTAATGGCAGTTCTTTTCATTTATGTATGGTGTTTAGAATTAATTTCCCTTGAATTTGGTAAATATCAGCTTGATATAAATCATTGCACATTGATTGAGGTAGTTACATAAGGAAAGCCTGTAACCATCCATGTATTAAAATTCAGACCATCAGGCAGCATTAGTGATATTGTCGAGTTTGACGAAAATATGTTTTTGCATCGAAAAAAAAAATAATGTATCCTTCCACCCCGGTGGGTGTACGGCGGGATATACTTAGAAAAAACAAATGTTTTTTGCTGTTATGCCTAAACATTCTGCCAGAACTTTGGTTAAAGTTATTAACGAAAATATTATTGATGGCACTAATACTGAGACTATTAGATAGGGTATAACACTGAATTAACAGAAGTCAGATTTCAACATTTCTACATTAAACATCAATATAAATTTATCGATCCCAGTACTGATTGTCATATGCAAGAAACTAAAAGGTTACAGACAGTACGAAATCAGAAAACAAATATCAGCATGTCACTGGCCATAACCAGTTAGATTTGTATTTAAATGAGGTTATGTGGCAGCAAAAGCATCTCAAAATGCAAATGTTTTTAGACATTTTAAATGATATCCGTGATTTCATGACTCTATTTAATCTTAGTTAGATAAACTTGTTAGGTTTAATCTTAGGTCTTCCAGCAATGTTAATATTGAAATCTTTGTTGTTAGTTTAGAGACTGCTGAGAGAGGCAAACCATACGCAGATGGTGAATACGTCAAAAGTTGTTTTATTATTGCATCCAAAGAGCTACAACGGGATTACAGTTGAATGATGATATCAAGAAGGCAGTAGCTATAACTCGGAATTCGCAAAGAGTTAAATCGCTATAAATTACTTTAAAATGTTATTCTGTTTCAGAATACAACTAATCATTTATACAAATTATTTATACTTTAATTTTTTTTTACTGTATTTGTATGTTTTATTTTCATTTATTTATTTATTTTGATTGATGGGTCAGTGTTTTGGATTAACCTGCAGAAGAATCCTCCTTTCATATGCTTTGCCATTTTTGGTTAAATAGATTAATGTAATAGAAATTGCATGTTAAAAACAAAATATATTCCTAGAATTTAAAGAAAATTCAATGAGAACAAAAATATGTGTATTCTTTTTTGGATTCATCAGAATGAATGTGAAAATAATATTCTTGTTTAGAATTCAGGGTACTTATATATTATCCCATTAGCAGTGAAGTTATCACCAAGTAGCATGATTTAGCACTAGTTATGGATAAGCATGACATAACAGTACACTCATAACATATGCGCTTTCGTTTGTTGTAAATCCGGATAGATTCTTAATGACCTACATTTTGTTTTCATGAACAAAGATTTAAATTAACTGTTATTGTTGTACTTTTTTTTCTTTGCATTTTGAAATTATTTGAAAGAATCAAAGAAATGATTGGCTGATCTTTGGAATATGGTAACTGGTAGTTTGGCGACATTTTGGAGGCGATAAAGGTTACTACCTAGGACTTTGGTAATAATGTGAGAAGTACTCAGTTCCGATTACGCATTATTTTGTGTGAGGGAAATGAGAGATCATGAGATATGTCATGTGACATTAATGGACGAATTACAGTTCTTTAATCGGAAAAGGGGGGGGGGAATTTGGAAAACTGTAGTACTATATTATTTTGTATTAAGCTTCATTGTGTGTTGTGTGAAATATGCGTGCCATGTAATGAAGATTCTGAAGATTAGATAAGTTAGTATTTTTAATCATTTGAGGGTATTATTTTTATGCATTGTTCTAAATGTAAGGAGTAAATAAATTAATATGGTATTATTGGAAAATTGTTATTAGCAATGATTTAGTTTAAAGTAATTAGGATTGTAATCTAATTTTTATTAATTTAATGTATGTGCTTATTTATATTTTAAGTAATGTATTTTAATTTAATTATATTTTAATTTAATGATCGTGATTTTGTGAGTTATATGTTTGTAGTATTTTGGAATACGTTTCAGTAGAATTGAGTTGAGTATTTTTATGCATTTTCGTGAAATTTTTCTAATTTATGAGAAAAAAGCAGTGTACATGGATATAGTGAAGAGTGTGTGCAATGCCATTTTTGTGCAATTCTGGGATTTAAATAAAAATAAGTCGACGTGTACATGGTTTAGTGATATTTTAATTAAATAATAGTTATTTTGTGAATTTTATGCTTTTAGGAATTTGGTATATGTTTCAGTTGAAGTAAACATGTATGGAAATAATTTAAATATTTGACAGTAAGTATTTGTAACCATTTGTAATGTTTGCAGTATGAATTCGTTGGTGACGTTTATAATATAATAGATAATTTAGAGGTAAAAGTTTTTGGATATTTTATTTATTTTATATGTGGAAATGTTCATCCTTGGAAAGGGTATATACTTTTTTGCGATCAGGTAATTTCATATATGTGCTTTTTACCGAGTTTAAAGATTCACAGAATTTTTTTTGCATTTTCATGCAAATTTTTGTAATTTATGAGAAAATAGCAGTGTAGATGGATAAAGTTAAGAGTGTGTGCAATGCCATTTTTGTGCAATTCTGGGATGTTTTTTTAAGTAAAAATAAGTCGACGTGTAAATGGTTTATGTGTATGTGCTATTCTGAAAAATGCGCAAGGAGTTTACGATTGTGCACTTTTTCCCAATTTTGCAGTTAATATTTGTCATGATTAAGCAGTTTTGTTACATAAAATTTCTAGCATAAGTGTAATTCGGCTAGTAGATTGTTGGAAAAAGTGTTCAGTAAATAAAAAGAAAAGAAACATGTCTTTACTCCGTGAAGACAAAATGGCGGCAAAAAAAAAAAGAATAGAGGGTTGCTGTAGCAGAGTTGGTCGCCAAAAAATCGCCAAGTTACCATAATCCAAAGATCAACCAAATGATTAAATTGAGATCTGCCTTCTACAGAGCAGCAAGAAGTGGATTATTTCCATAGTTGTAGATCCTACCTTCAAAAAATTGTGCATTAATGGACATGATATGGTTAAATGAATATGGCTGACAAAACAGCCAGAGCTTTGAGTGATTACCTGGGAGAAGTTTGTACTCATAGCATATTAAACAGAGCTTTCAGTAAAAT